TAAGTGATCACGGGAAACATGTACAACTAAAAAAAGTGGAGACCGAAAATATATTGATTGGTGGTTAGTAAAGGTCTAACCACATTACACTTCAAAGTATCCAGTATGTCTTTTGAAAAAGGAGCGAAGTCTCAACACTACGCTTCTCTGCTATTTAATCACTCGCCACGTATAGACCTGCGGCGAGTGATTAGATAGTCGGTGGGCGTACCCCGCCAACCGCGCCAAGAGTGAGCCATGCTAGATCGCCGAGGTCAAATCTTTCGCTGCCAATTGCGCGTCGGTCAGCACCCTCAGGAGGTCCGCCTGTCTCCCAACTATGCAATTTTCCCCTTCTTTGACCTTCGTTCTTATCGGTTGGGAATGTGGTACTGTCGTTTTGCTTTTTCAAGAAATATCTCCTCATCTGTGAAAAAGTTCGGCAAGATCGGCAGTACAAGGTCGTGACATCTCCGTCCAGCGCCGCTTCACTTAGTCGCACCATATGAGAACTCGGCTTTTCCACGCTCACTTCCGTTCTCACGGGATGTCTCTGGCGATTACTTGCCAACAAGTGCGCCTAGGAGAGAAGCGGGAGGAAAATGACGGATTGAATGTGTTACAGTCCTTCGCAGCCTGGCGAATACTTTCTCAGTTCTTGGTAACAACATTAACTTCTCTTCCTTATCCAGAGCAATCGTTTCTAGTACCTAGGTCGTTGACTTTGTAATGATGGTTCTTGCAGGCTTTTGGGAATCCTAATTCGTTTTACACTGTAACATAACCAGACACCTTGACAGAATGGTCGACTTACTGTTTCATAGGAGCTAGAAACCTGATCAATCCATGAATAATAACTTCAGCGTAGTAAAATTAAGGAATGATCATCAACCTACTAAAACCGAATATGTGAAAGCTACCGTCGAAAATCCGTCGGTTTGATTCTAAAACTGTATGCCCTCCGTTCTTGTTACCGCAATTTGTGGGCACCCTCCATTTCTCACATTTGTCCATGATGGCGATAGTACATGGAGGCGGTGGAGACGGGGATGCCTGTTCCATGTCGCTGTATCCTGGGCCATTGTCATATTTTGCGACCGTTTTGCGTTTTTTTTTTCGACTGTGGATAGATAGGTGTTGACCAGGCGATTGCAAGTTCCTATGATCGAAGCAAACTTCTTCACGAGGAACTGAAAAATCGCAAAATGGCAAACTATGACTGGCCATAACTGAAATGCTTAGCTTCTAGAATTCACAATCAGTTTGTGGCGAGTACAGGTATTTTTCCGTAAATGGAAGAATAGATTCCTAAATTTTTCCCATGCCACAGTTTTGTTTGGTGCTGAAAGTATATAAGTGAGTTTTACCTAAAAGTTAGACTCTGAACTGTGTTGGAACTATGTTATAATTACTGAAAGTGATCTATTGAATCCCAATCTGATTTTGATTGGTTCTTCGTATTCGATCAGTGTTCAACTAAAATAATTCTTCTGTAAATTCCAGAGCTCCAGCAAATGAACGTGTTGTTGCCCTGAACAGTGCTGGAATTGAGGCACACATAATGGTGTTAGGTAGTGGATGGTCTGGTAATACATGCCAACTCCGGGTAGAAATTACTAATAATACACCTGAAGTTGTACGAGATTTTGCCTTCCAAGCTGCTGTCACCAAGGTTCGTACTTTTCCTTTTTACTCTAGTAAGTTCAGAATTTTTTTGTTATCATCAAACGTTTTCAGGCGTTCACGATTGAGCTGCAAACGCCGTCATCAACAGTACTGGAACCAATGGGTGGATCAACAATTATTCAAGATATAAAAATTACAAGGATATCGTCACAAGGGCAGTCTGTAAGTTGTTTGTCAGTACTTCCTGAAGGGGCTGCTTTGTGGCTTCAGTGCTTTGCGATGGAGGATCCTCTCGACGAAATTGCGGGCGGTTCTAGATGAGCCGGGAGTATTATCTACATTGCTTTGGTCGGCGCTCGTGTGGATGGCCCGGGTCGTGACGGGGGGTCTGCTGTACCTCTTAGGCATCTTTACTTTCCTTTACCTGATATTGACAAAACCGGGTTCGCTTGTGTTACGATGCTCACGGGTATGTTGTACAGGACGCGATTAGAATTCAATTGTGCTGCATTCGATCACTGGTGTTGGTCGGTATTACTTACCATGATTAGTCCTTTGGAGACGAGTCGGCTATTCGTTTTCTAATTGGGCCGCCTGCGCGGGGCCATGGGCAGTTTCACAGGCTATAATCCAGAAAGTGGACAAAACCACCTCAGCAAGCCAGAGAGTACACAGTGGCTGTTAAGCCCTGCTCAAGATATCTGATTAAAGTCAACCAGTTGTCCAAGCGCGAGTGATTTCGAAGACGAAGTGAGGCAGCTTTACGGAAGATTTAGTTCCAATGAGAGTTCGGCGTGGGCCGGGGCGTGTTGGCGCAATCCGGTGGTTCCTGAAGGACATTATTGAATGAGCCGTAAGCCAGAGTGTCGTGTTGCCATGGAGGAGATGGGGATTAGGCTCGAGAGCCGCCGAAAAGCCCATTTTCCCAATTCATGTGAGAAAATTGATTTCTGGGAAGCTGTGCTTCTTGAAAGGTTCGTTTTGACGCATCCCTCAGACATTGTCTTTGAAGAAAAGCGTTTCATGATAGGGTTCGCTATAAGTGGCAAAGTAAATAATTGATTTTGCTTAATGGAAACTAACGAGATCCCGATCATGCTGGCAAAATCATAGTTCAGGTCGCGACAACTTAGAGGTTAACTAGTCGCCTTTTCTAGAATGGTATGCAGAAAATAATGCAAAATTACCTGACGAGTGTACTGACAAGCTCCATATTTCTGTGGATAACATACCACTCCTGTTATAGAGCACTAGAATTCCAGCAGCTTCAATTCATGTTTTAAAGATGACACAGCAGCAGCTTCGAGGCACCTCTCCCTGTTGTATCCAATCCTTTTAGTGTTCCAAATTTGACACATTCACGGGCGCCCTTTTTCGCTCTTGGATGGTACGGGTGCGATTTCGCCCACCTCTCATGCATGAATTTTCTATAGTAAATGACAAAAACATGAACAGCACAGGGTAATTTTAGTGATCTATATGACATTAGTTATTTTGATGTAGAAATGAAAAAAACGACGACAAACGGTTGGTAGTCGATCTTTAGCTGAGAGCCCATATAAGCAGCCGCCGGTGTGAATGGGTTGACTGGGAATTCCTCATGGTTTTCCACACTAAGCAAATCTCGCATCAAACAAATCAAAATCGCTAAAATCTCGGAACAATATCCTTCAGTCGGCATTTTCACGTGCATGTCCCCACCACGTTCCACGTAGAACATTTCCTGCACGTTTTTTTCCATTTCGTCCTTTTCTGAAATCGTGACGCCATTTTGGCTGTTCTGATTATTTTGCATCTCCTTTTTAAGAAGGTTCTTTATGCAATTCAATCGTTTGATCACTGAGCATATTTTTGGGTGTCTCGTAATGGTCCTGAAATGCAATGGATGAGTCTGCTTTCATTCTTGCAGGAAGACGCTCTCTGTTTGTTAGCTCCGCATTTTTTGAACAACTTTTCTTATGGGTTTTCATCCGGAAGAACAGGACATAATAGAAACACCCATGGGGGACAATAACCAACAACATAAACAGCGCACCCTGTTAGCGCTCACTTTGTCACGCGGACTTATCTTCGGGCAGAATTACCTATTAGGTTTTAAGGTAATTAACCCTTTGGCGACAATGGCACCCAATGGTGGGTGCCACCTAAAAATTTTCTTCTTACCCATTTAAAACATTTTCAACATATCAGTAATTATAAGCAAGCTCCGTTACGCCTATGTTTAGCATATTTTGCAGAAATGTTTGTTACTAGCTAATTTATATGAAATTTTAGGATATGGCACTTCGCTCGGCGATGTATTAACTAGTGTTTTACATTATTAAGCTTAAGGTGAATTACAGATCAGGACCTCTACGTCTTTTCACAGTCTTAAGACACAAGGAGGAGTTTGAACTATATCAAAAATTCTACTGTACATTTGAACTTCTAGAGTTTTCAAACACCATCCCTTTGAAATCCGAGATTTCTTTCCAAACTTCCACTTTCTAATTCCAACAATACATGATCATAAAGCTTAAGACTGCAGTCATATTTTGTTTATTGTCATAGTCAAAATTTTGATAGAAAAACTGCTTTTAGGGACAATTTTGCCCCATTTTGTGCGAGAGTTGGGCGCGCCAAAAAGAGGCGTGGTCCCACGAGCACGCTACGTGCAAATCCGCATTGTCGTCAAAGGGTTAAAGTGACTGTCTATACCGTAGCTGAGCAAAGCAGACAGGATTCTGGCTGCTTTGATCAGATATGAACTAGATAGTTTTCACTTCGCAAGTGGTCCATAGCCAACAGAGCTGCGCTACTCTTACATTCTCCATCGTTCGGGATTGTTGGTGTCAACGCGGTTACATTGGGCACATTCGTGCGCAATCAAGAGACCTTCCGGATGCGCCTGGAATGAGCTACAACTCGTTATTTAACGCGGATTTGCTACGTTTATTCAGGGGAAAGAGCAGTGTTACGGTAGAATGTGTTTTGTTTGAAGACAATTATTTCCAGTTGCGAATGCGTACCAGGGCACTCTACACCTCCAAAGGGACGTCTCAAAAGATTCAAGGAGAAGTTAACCGGTTTCCGGGTCTAGATTGAACGTGAATCGCTTCACTTTAGCTGATTTGGAGAAAAAAGTGTCGAGGCGATAATCAGTACTTACATTGTCAGATGCCTAGAAATGACTTTCACATTCCATTATCATCTCGGTGCATCCAATTTGAAGTCATTTTTGAATAAAGGCCGGCCAGTGTTCCCTCTACCTTTGTCACTCGAATCAGCACTTGATCCAAATGAAGTAATGACCATAGTTGATTTGATTATTAGCCTCATTCTCTATTCTTTCAATCTTGAATACATGAGCGTAGTTTTCGTTTTAAAGTATACGTTTTTGTACGTACACATACCACATATTGTTGTGTGATCTGAATACACCATGGATTTTCTTCAGAAAAAAATCGACTTTAAATAGCTCCAATTAGTCAACGTGGTGACGCAAAGGAGATGTGTCCTAACTATTAAACGTGATGATGGCTTTGTTGTTCTGTGATGTCACCTGTCGGTTATTCTTACCACACAGGTTCACTTGTTACCCAATAACTGTTTGTAGTGCACTTTCTTCATATCATTTTAATGGTTTTTGTTTCTTTTTTGCTGATCGTTTTTAACCACAGTAGTAAATTATTTATTATTTTGGTTTTTTTTCTGGGAATTTTAAAAAATTAAATTCCACCAAAGGCTATGTATTCAATGCAAAGAGTGTGGAAGCAACGAATTGACGAAGTATATCGATGAATTTTTGCCGATCATTTTTCCGGAATGTGCCATGCACCCGATTTCCATTCATGATCTTGGAACTCTTGAATGTACTACATTGAACGGAGATTTACCCATCCTATTCTCTTCTCTGGGCGGAAGTTGTGTAGT